TTAAAAATAAAATAAACTCTTCAAATAAAAAACATTTTAAATAAACAAACAAATAAAAACAAATAATGAAAACAAACTCTTCAAATAAAGAAGATCTTGAATAAATAAATTAAATAAAATAAATAAACAAACACTTTAATTAAATAAATAAAACAAAACAAATAATGAAAAAAGACTTTATTTTGTTTTCAGTTCTTTTTTCATTTTGCGGAAAAGTTTGCGAAAAGAAACAAAAGAAAAAATTCCATTTTTGCCATTTGGAATTTTAAAAAAAAAAAATTATTTTTTTTTTCAAATTCGAAAACTCCATTTGGCTCTTTGGCTTAGACAGGAAAGTTTATTTATTTAATCATTTATTTTATTAATTCAATTAATTAATTTATTTATATATTTATTTAGTCATTGATTCATTCATTTGTGTATTTGTTTTGCTTATTTATTTATTTACCCATTTATTCATTTGTTTATTTTTATTTTTTTTATTTATTTATTTACCTATGTATTTACTAATTGTTTGTTCTATTTCTTTTAAAATTCTAAAGAAAAGTCTATTATTTATTTTTTATTTTTCTTTTTTCTCAAATTAATATTCTTCTATTCCACTTTATTCTTTTCCTTATTTAATTTTTGCTTTAATTGCATCAATGAACTGCTTATTCTTATTTATTTATTTTATTAATTTTATTATTTATTTATTCATTTATTTGATTATATTTATTTTAATGTATTTATTTTCATTTATTCGTTTACTTATTTATTTGAAGTCATTTTGTTTAGGTTTTATTAGATAATCAAAGAATAAATAAATAAGCAATTAAATTAATTAATTATTTATTTATTTAGTTTATTTATTTAAATTTATTTTTTATTTTTTATTTTTAGGTTTCTTCGAGCAGCGCCTGTCGACGGAGCAGCTCTTTTCTTTCTTTCCTTGGAATCCTCGAGGGGCCTCAAAGTAATAAATAAAATAAATAAATAAATAAATAAGTAAATAAATAAATATAAATAAATAAATAAATACATATATACAAATAAATAAATAAATAGATGAATAGAATTAAATAAAATATAATTTGTTTCCTGATGCATTGATGTCTTGCAAAGAAGTTAAATTAAAATTCCATTTTTATTTTTTCTTTTTCAATTATTTTCCAGTTTTTGAAAATTAGCATTTATTATTTATTTGTCCATTTATGCTATTCATTTATTTATTTATTATTATTTGTTATATATTTATTTATTAATCTATCCATCTATTATCTTATTCATTTATTTATTCATTTATTTAATGAAATTTTAAATTTTATTTTCCTTATTTCCTTTCTTTGTTACTTTTTTCCATTTCTTCATTAATTATTTTAACTAATTTAATTTAATTCAATTTAATTTAATTCAATTTAATTTAATTATAATTTAATTTAACTTTTAATTCAATTTAAATTTTAATTTAAGTTAATTTAATTTCTCTTTTGTGTTTTGTTTGCAGGGGCGGAAGCCAGCGCCTCCCTTCCCTCTTTTACGGTTTGTCATAAATAAATGAATAAATAAATAAATAATAAATAAATAATAAATAAATAAATAAATAAAAATAAATTAGTAATAATAAGCAGCAAATAAATGATAAGTAAATTGAGGATAAATAAATTTAATAATCAATCCCTTAATCGTAAATGGATAAATAATTACTTACTTTTTTATTTTCCGTCTTTTGTTGTTGCCTTTATATTTTTTAATTGTTATTTCTGTTCTTTATTTTATTTTGTATCTTTTAATTTAATTTCTATATTTGTTTTGGCATTATTTTTTATTTATTTTTATTTTTATTTGTTTTTGTTTTCAAGGTTTCTATATCTTCTTTCATAAAACGAGAAAACGAAACTTGGATTAAAATCTTCATTTCCAAAAAAGAAGAACAAAAAGAAACGCATGCAGAAATAGAAGTAACAGAAAAACAAATACAGGTAGTCCACAGGGTTTAGGGTTTAGGGTTTAGGGTTTAGGGTTTGGGGTTTCGGGTTTAGGGTTTGGGGTTTTAGGAATAGGGTTAAGAGTGTAGGGTTTGGCGCTTCAATTCTAGGGTTTACAGTCTAGGGTTTCGGGTTTCGAGTAGAGGGTTTAGCGTCTAGGGTTTAGGGTTTAGAGCCTAGGGTTTGGGATTAGGGTTTAGGGTTTAGGGTTTAGGGTTTGCGTTGCATGCATGTACTTGAAGCCCTCATTCCCACGACGAATTCGAACTAACTGAACAACTTCAAACTAATTACAATTCATTAATTTATTAATTTTATTAATTAATTAATTTATTTATTTATTTTTTATTTATTTATTATTTATTTTATTTTCAGGATTTGCATGCAGCTCTTTGCCGCCACTTCAACTTCAAAGAAATTAAATTGGTTCCCAAAATGCCCAAAAAGGGTCTGGGGCTTTTGCGTGCAAGTTCGTAAAAGTGGAAAATAAAAAATATTTTTAATTCTTTTAATCTTTTTATTCTTTGAATTTAATTCTTTTTAATTTAATTCTTTTTAATTTAATTCTTTATTTAGTTCTTTTTAATCCTTTTAATTCTTTTTAATTTAATTCTTTTTAATTTAATTCTTTTTAATTTAATTCCTTTTATTTAATTCTTTATGTAATTCTTTCAATCTTTTTATTCTTTTTAATTTAATTCTATTTAATTTACTTCTTTTTAATTTAATTCCTTATTTAATTCTTTTTAATCCCTTTAATTCTTAATTTGCTTCTTTTTAATTTAATTCCTTTATTTAATTCTTTTTATCTTTTTAATTCTTTTTAGCTTGATTCTTTTTAATTTGGTTCTTTTTAATTCTTGTCAATTTAATTCCTTTTAATCTAATTCTTTTAATCTTTTCAATTCTTTTTAACTTAACCTTTTAATTTGATTCTTTTTTATTTAATTCTTTTTTTATTCTTTTAATCTTCTTAATTCTTTTTAATTTGATTCTTTTTATTCAATTCTTTTTGAATTGATTCTTTTAATCTTTTTTTAATGTGATTCTTTTTAATCTTTTTTAATTTGTCTCCTTCTAATTTAATTCCTTCTTGATTTAATTATTTTCAATTTAAATCTTTTTATTTTAACTATTTTTAATTCTTTTTGTTTTAGTTTTTTTCTAAATTGATTCTTTTTAGTTTAATTCCTCTCAACTCTTTCTTTAATTTAATTCTTTCTTAATTTAGTTCTTTTTGTTCGAATAATTCTCTTTGTCTTTAATTTTGTTTTTAATTCTTTCTGTTTTTAATTCTTTTTGTTTTTAATTCTTCAGTTTAATTCTTTTAATTTGAAGGAAAGGGTTTATTTAGGAGGGTTTATGAGACACGAGGGTTTAGAAAAGGGTTTTGAATTAAAGGGTTTTGAATCAAAAGGGTTTTAACAATTAAAAGGGTTTTAAACCAAAAAACAATTCTTCATTGTCTTTTCATCTTCTTTGTTGTTAATTAGTTAACAATCAATTAACCGATCATTCATTTATTATTTACTTATTATTTATTTATTTGCTTATTATTTATTTATTTATTTATTATTTTTTTTGGGTTTCAGGTGAAGAGACACTGCAGACGAACTACGAATGGTACTTGCGCGAAGTTCTGCAAAATTATCCAGTAAGAATAAATCAAATATATAATAAACAACTAAATAAATTAATTAATTAGTTAATTAATATAAATGAATAAATATAAATGAATAAATAAACATAAATGAATAAATGGATTAATTGGAGGGGATTGGATGGAGAAAGAATATTATTCATATCAAGAGTGATTTTGGTGGCGGACTATTAGAAGAAAATAAATAGGAATTAAATTAAATTAAACCTAATTTAATTCAATTAACTTGGATTCAGTTTAATTAGATCCTTTTATTAAATAAATAATTTAATATGATAAATATTTTTATTTATTTTAATTTGATTATTTTAAATTAAATGAAGTCTGTTTTGCTCTTTGCTGCAGACGTTTCAGTGCCAAGAGCTCGACGAGTTCCTCCAAATCTCCTAAACCCTAAACCCTAAACCCTAAACCCTCAACAGACCCTTAACAAGGGACTGCTAAGAGTGGGCGCTGCACTCGCGGCCTGCGGCGCCCCCTAAGCCCCAAACCCCAATTAGGGTTTAGGGTTTAGGGTTTACGGTTTGGATCGTTTGCAAAACCAAAAGTTAGTATTTTCTTTTCTGTCGAAATAAACCCCGAGTAGGCGCTGCTGTTTGCATGCAAATGAGGAAAAAACAAAACTAGAAAATAAATTTAAAAAGGAAAAAGAAGAATGAAAAGAATCTGAAAAGCCAATACATATATATATATATTTGTTTCTTTGCAAAAAGAAGAAATAAATATAAATAAAAAAAAGAAAAACTGAAAAAAGAAAAGCGAAAGAGCAGAGGGCGTTTTCTGCGGTGTACGTACACGCGAACTTGCATGCAGAACGAAAGTGAATTCCCGTCTTTTCTTTTGGCGTTTGGACTGGAGAAGAGTTTTAATGGATTAAATTGAATAATTTTAATGAAACAAATCGGAATTATTTGAAGAAATTGAATGAGAATTGTTTTCTAAATCAGAAAAGAAAAAGCTGCACGCGTTCGCTGCATGCGCGGTTTTGGGGCTTTTTGGTTTTGCAAATTGCTGCAACGAAGTGGCTTCGAAGTCTCGTTTAAGGCTCTTTTTGAAGCTCCTTTTCCCTCTTCTTTTTTATTTCTTTTTATTTCTTTTTACTTCTTTTATTTCTTTTTATTTTCTTTTTTTTTATTTCCATTTTATTTACTTCATTTTCCACTTCGCTTTCCTCTTTTTCCCCCGCGCTCGCCGCCGCATTTCAGCGGCTTTCCCTTATCCCTAAGTCAATTCAAGTTCTTTTTAATTTATTTCTTTTCAATTTATTTCTTTTAATCCATTTCCGTTTAATCAATTAATTAATTAATTAGTCAATTAATTTAATTAATTACTTAATTAAATTAATTATTTTATTTTGTTTTTAATTTCAAAACTCAAATCGTTTTTCGCTTCGCCAGCACTTCGGGGCCCCAAATGGAAAACTCCGAAGGCCCTTCTCGCCTGAACACCCAAAAACAAAAAATGCAAAAATAAAAAACAAATATGTCCAATTAAGTTAATTAATTCGATTTAAATTAATTTAATTTAATTTAATTAATTTAACTTAATTAATTTCATTTTGTTTCATTTAATTTGATTTAATTTGATCTAATTTGACTCGTAAGTGATCAAATACGGCTAACGGTGAGTGCGCCGTACTACTTGAAGTGCAGCAGCCACAGCAGCAACAGCAGCAGCAGCAACACCAAAAGCAGCAGCAGCAACAGAGAAACAGCAGCAACAGCAGCAGCAAAAACGGAAATAGCAGCAGCAGCAGCAATAACAGCAGCAACAACAGCAGCAGCAGCAGCAGCAGCAACAGCAGCAGCAACAGCAAGGACATAAGCAGCAGCAGCAGCAGCAGCAGCAACAGCAAGGACATCAGCAGCAGCAGCAGCAGCAGCAACAGGAGCAACTCACATGACGCGGGCACGATTGGTGGCTTCTAAAAGGGAAAAGAGAAAAGCAGCAGCAGCAAAAAGAAAGAAGAACAAAAAATCCAAAAATGAAAATAATTCCACTGAGACAAATGGCGCAGAAGAAAAAGAAAAGCGGAACCTGCAACACAAATAAATAGATGAAAAATAAATAATAAACAAATACACAACAAATAAATAAATAAATCAATACATGAATAAACTAACTAAATAAATAAACAATACATACATGAACAAGTGAGTGACAACTGAATAAATAAACAATTAAAGTAAATATTAAATCAAATAAATTAGGGAGGTAGGCAAATCCACAAAATAAAAAACGGGGAAAGTAAATAAAATTCGAATAATTAAATTAACTGAATTAATCAGAATAAAAAAAAGATAAAATTAAATTAAATTAAATTAAATTAAATTAGATTGAAATGAAACACAAATTCATGGGAATATAAATTAGATGAAAATGAGCAAAATGAGAAATGGGGGGAACAGCAAAGAGCCACTGCAGCAGCAGCACTGCTGCTGCTGCTGCTGCCGCTGCTGATGCTGCAGCAGTCTGGGAGCAGCTGCTGCAGCAACTGTGCTGCTGCAGCAGCGGCACAGTTGCTGCTGCTGCTGCGGCATTTTGCTGCTTCAAATTAGGGAAAAAAATGCAACTAAAATGAACAAATTGAGGGCCCGAATAAACGTAAAAAGGTAAACAAAGAAAAGTCAATGAAGGAGCCACAAAAGCAAAAAAACCTTGGAATTAAAAAAAGAAAAAATGCATTTTTGGCTAAAACGAACCACTTCATGGCTTCTATTTGCTGCAGTCTTCCGAAAAGACTAAAAGCTTCTTCTTTTTCTTTCTTGTTTCCAAAAAAAAGAAGAAAAAAAGGTCTAAAAACTGTTAAAAACGGCCCCACGGGGGGGCTGCATGCGCATGCATGCGCTCGCAACCCCACAAACGCATGCGCATGCAGCCCCACAAATGCATGCGCATGCAGCCCCAAATCTTTTTTCTCGTTTTGCCGAATTCCAAAAGTTTTTTTTCCTCCACTTTTGCCTTCTTTGGACAGCTGCTCCTTCAGGTGTACGTACACTTCGGGACACAGCGCTGCAGCAGCAAAGAATTCGAAAGAAATTAAGAAGGGCTTTTACTATTTACTTTTTCAATTTATTTTATTTAGTTATTTATTTACTTATTTATTTATTTATTTATTTTTTTTATTTGTCCAGGAAATGCGTGGATATAGGGTTGGGGTGTATGTACTCGCGGATGAGGAAAAATAAGAAAATGAATTACTGGAAATAAAATTAATAGATAAATAAAAATAAAAATAAAAAAAAATAAATAAGAATAAAAGTAAATAAATAAAAATAAATAAATTGGAATTAATGAATAAAAGAATTCACCCTCTTCAAGCAGAGAAGTCTTGTGGCAGCAACCAGCAGCAGCAGCAGCAGGATCTGCTGCTGCTGCTGCTGCTGCATGCACTTGCGTGCATGCATTTGCTGCTGCTGCTGCTGCTGCTGCAGTATCTAAATTTGTTTTTTCTTCTTGAACCAATTCGTTTAAAAAGGGAGGAGGAGCAGGCGGCGCCACTTCTGCAAAAAAATATCAAACCCTGGGGTTTAGGGTTTAGGGTTTGGTGTTTAGGGTTTGGGATTTAGGGTTTAGGGTTTGGGGTTTAGGTTTTGGGGTTTACGTACACCTAACTGCAGCGCCTGCTGCGACCCTTTAGGGTTTAATTTGAAGCGCTAGGGTTTGAGGCTACGGAGGCCCTCAATTAGGGTTTAGGGTTTAGGGTTTGGGGTTTACCTGCTGCTGTGCTAAACAGCAAAGTCAGCAACAGCAGCAGCAGCAGCAGCACCGGCAGCAGCAAAACTTCTGCTGCTCGCACTGACGTCGTTCTGTTGGCCAGAGAGACCTAAATAATAAATAAATAAATAAATAATAAAAAATAATAAATAAATTAATAATAATAAATAAATAAATAAAAAATAAATAAAAAAGAAGTAAACAATTAACAAATAATAAATAATAAATAGATAGACAATAAGGCCAAATAAGGGGAAAGCAATTAATGAATAAAAGCAGCAGCACATAAATGATAAATAATGAAAATATAATAAATAGTAAAATAATAAATAAATAAATAATAACAATAAATAAATAAATAGTAAATAAATAAATAAATAAATAAATAAATACATAAATACATAAAAGTGAATAAGTAAATAATGACGCACGCATTGAGTGGCCCTCATTAATCTGCTGCTGTCGTTCTTTTGCTGCTGCTGCTGCTGCTGCTGCGGCTGCTGCTGCAGCAACTGCGAGAGCTCATTACTCTGCCGCAGCAGCGAGACCTAAAACCAGCAAAAATAAATAATAAAATTAATTAATTAATTAATTAATAATAGAGTAAATAAATAAATAAATAAATAAATGCCTTTTATTTGTTTGTTCATTCTTCTTAAATAACAAGCGAAATTAAATAATTCATAAAATAAATGAGATTAAAATATGGAAGCAGCAAACACCACTTCGAATAAATAAATAAACATAAATAAATAAACATATATAAGCAAAAAAATAGATAACCAATTAATTAATTAGTTAATTAATTAATTAATTAATTAATTAATACCTGTACTAAGTCTTTTGCTGCTGAGATGCGCAGCAGCAAAGCAGCAGCAGCAAGAGAGATTCTGATGAACTTCAGCATACTTGGACTTATAATCCTGCAGCAAAATAAATAAATAAATAAATAAATAAATAAATAAATAAATAAATAAATAAATAATGGTAAGTAAGCAGTAGCAGCAGCAGCAGCAGAGCTAGGCAGCAGCAGCAATGCACTGCAGCAGCAAAGATAGACTGCAGCAGCAAAGCAGCGCGCTGCTGCAGCAGCAAAGCTACCTAAGTGGCAGCAGCAGCAGCAGCAGCAGCAGCAGAGCTCTGCTGCAGCAGCAAACGTACTCCGAAGCAAAAGAGAAGACAGGCGGCAGCAGCAGCAGCAGCGCAGCAAACCAGAAAGCAGCAGCAGCAGCAGCAGCAGGAAGCGAAGGGGCCGCAGCACCCAAAGCTGCCCAAAGGGCTTTATTGACATATTTCTAAACACAAAAAGAAACACAATTTAATAAATAATAAATAAATAAATAAATAAATAAGTAAATGATTAACTAATTAATTGTTTTGTCTTCAAAAGCAGAAGCAAACGCCGCTGCCTGAGGTGTCTGTACACCTCAGCAATAACCCCTTCAGGCCCATCAACCTGCAGCTTTTAATTTTATAATTCATTTTAAATCATTTCAAATCTATTTATTTATCTATTATTTATTTATTTGTTTACTTATTTATCTATTTATTTAATTGTTTGTACCGAAGGTTCCTCAATTGCTGCCTTTAGCCCCTCCACCTCGCCTACTGCTGCTGCTGCTGCTGCTGCCAGCAGCAGCAGCCAGCAGCAGCAGCAGCAAGCAACAACAAGGCTGAGGCCGCTGCTGCTAACGCCCCTGCAGCAGCAACAGAAGCAGCAGCAGCAGCAGCAGCAGCAAAAAATCAGAAGCAAATCGAGTAGTTTTGGTCCTTTCTTATTCAGTACTTGCTCACTTATTATGTATTATTGCTATTTATTGTCTTTTTATTTATTTATTTTAATTTATATTTATTTACCTATTTATTTACATTTATTTTTATTTACTTATTTATATTTATTTCAATATATTTTTATTATTTAATTCTCACTTGAAGTTGTGGGGCACCAACTCGAAGGCCCATTGCTGCACAACCTTGTGGAGAGCTGAAAAATAAATAAAAAAATAAATAAATAAATTAATTAATTAATTAATTAAATTGATCAAGTAATAATTATCTAATTAATTATTTAATTGAATAAAGCAGGAAATCTAAACAGATGCTAGGCGGTAGGAAAAGAAACGAACAGATGTGACGATCAGCAAAGCTCCAACCCCTAAACCCTAAACCCTAAACCCTAAACCCTAAACCCTAAACCCCGCACTGAGCGCATTTCGCTGCAACTTTCTCCACCTTTCCCAATCCCCGCAAGCGCATTAATTAAATTAAATTAAAGTAATTTAATTTAATTTAATTTAATTATTATTTATTTATTTATTTATTTATTTATTTATTTTAATTTACTTTCCGAAAAAGTATTAAGGCCTAAAAGGCGATGCAGCGGAAACTCCGGAAGACACAGAGCCGCCGCCAGCGCGGCCGAAGTGCCAATTATTCTGAAATAAATAAACAAACAAACAAACAAATAAATAAATAAATAAATAAATAAACAATCAAATAATGGTGAAGGTAAAAAGCGGAAAAAGAAATTTGTTCAAGTGCCACAAAAGGCCGTAATTTCTTTTTTGGATTTTTTGCTGATTTGGTTAAAAAATTAAATAATCGAATTAGTTAAATAATTAAATAGCTTAATTAATTAATTAATTAATTAATTAATTAATCAATTGTTTATCATAATTAATTAATTAATTAATTACTATTTTAATTTATTTTTTATTTATTTTTCTTACAAGGGAAGTTGCCGCCTAAAAGCCTCAAAGCGGTAAACCAAATTCGTCCGCAGCAGCCGCAGCTGCAAAAACCTAATTTAATAAATAAATAAATTAAATAATAAATAAATAAATAAACAAATAAATAAATAAATAATAATTAAATAATTGTTAATAAATGAAAAAAGGTAAATAATTGGGGGAAAAGGGGATTAATTGGCCTTGGTAGCAACAGCAGCAGCAGCAGCAGCACCAGCAGCGCAGCAGCAGCAGCAGCAGCAGCAGCAAAGCAGCAGCAGCAAGAGCAGCAGCAGCTCACCAAAGGCGGAGGACGCAGGCCACGAGAACGCAAGCAGCAGGAAGAGGGTTTGGAGAAAAGAAAAAGAAAAGAAAAAAATAAAAAAGTAAATTTAAAAAAGAAATAAAAAGACATCCAACAACTTCCTGCAAAGCTGCTGTTCCTTCTGCAGCGCGAAACACTCGCTGCGCGCCAAACTGAACAAACACCAAATCAGGGTTTAGGGTTTAGGGTTTACGGTTTAGGGTTTAGAGTTTGGCAGCCATAGAAGGCACTCGGAGCTTTAAATGCACACACAGCACCCTAAACCCTAAACCCTAAACCCTAAAC